TCATCCATTCATTTACTCATTAACTTTTCTTCCCAAATTTCTTTCCAGGTACTATTGCTGCTTTCTATATCATCACATTCGTCGGAGTAAAAGCATCAATTTGGGGGATCAATATGGGCTTCTCTGGTGATTTCCGAATACCAGGTACATGACCTATGTTCATGATATGAATAGTATAATTTAGAATATATCTTTCTCTAACCGTACAGCCTTTTTTTTCTAGAATTCAACACCCAGTTTCCTGCTTTGACTGGAGGCTTGACCTTGGGTTATTTTGTTCACAATTTTGTGTTGTCCATCTTGCATAATCAAAAAAATCCTAAAAATAATGTAGGTGACTTCATTTTTTGAATAACTTAAAATTGACTTGTTGGGTAGACTTGTAATTCACTTATCATTTATTTTAGTCACGTGACGTCAGTATAGCTTATGTTTTGGTGGTGTTTACCTATATCTTTGTTGGTGGAGTGTTTTATGCAGCCTTTCCCATTAAGAAATCATGTATAAGTCAGGTAAGATCATACAAGCATTGCCAGGAAAATAATGGTTTAACTATAGAGTGATCACACTTAAAGCGTGCAACTGTACAAAATCTAAGTAGTACTAATTTGTACTAAAAGTGGACCTGAAGCAAGACGCTATTGAATGCTCCATTTGTATATTCAATTCAATTCAATTTGCTTACCGCATGCACGATTTACTAAATACAGCTAAAAAGTACTATTAGTTTGTACAGTTGCACGGATTAAGTGCGACCACTCTAGTAGAGTCAAACATTAAAACTGTGCAACATATATACCACTAAATACTGTTAAATTATGCTAATTTTATTGTTTTCTATTGTTTATTTAACACTATTTTGTAGTAAATAGTGGAAAGTGTTGCACACATTTAACGTTTGTACTTTAGCGCTAATTTTGAATTTTATGTCTGTAGGTTTTCCTGGATAATCTGCCATCCAGTGATTTCATGGCATTTGGTGCTCGTATTGGTCTGTTCTTTCAGCTGCTCACCGTGTTTCCTCTCATCGTTTATATTGTCAGAGTGCAGTGTATGGTGTACATCTTTGGGAAGTCATATCCTGGGTGCGAACATGAATGATATTTGACCACTTATAATACTTTTTGCTAAACTATCCACATAGAAAAGTTTTGTTTTTGGATTTGTGTTGATATAGGTGTTTAGTTCCGAGGTCTCGCAGCTCTAAATAAAAGTCATTGTGATTGGCTGGCTAGAACAATAGGCGCTATTGATTATGCCTCGTTCTTTAGAGTCAAGCTGTGTTCAACCAATTACCAACAATGTTCTTTGGCGCTGCGACCTGACCCGTTTAGTTTCCTTTGGCTTCTGTTTGTCTAATATAATTTCTATTGTAATTTGATTTGATTTTTATACTGCAGACCATTTCACGTTCTTGGTTTGAATGTTGTTATTATCGCTTGCTGTGTTGCTTGTGCCTGTTTTTATCCCCATGTTGGCACTATTATAAGGTAATTCCTGATACAATTCCCAGCCCCTATTTTCCTAAACAAAAGAAAAGTACATGTAGTTGTCAGCAAATTCATCATAAAGTGATTTACTAAATGCATTGTTTAGGGAAATTCTCCTTTCTACTAATTGCTAAATATGTGTACTCTGCTATAGGTATGTTGGAGCCCTCAGTGGACTGGCCTATATATTTGTCTTGCCGTGTCTGGTATATTTATATGACAAGAAGAAAGAACAAGGAAGTCTCTCATGGTGGTGCATTATCGTACATTCATTCATTRTGCTACTTGGTGTACTGAATTTAATTGCACAATTCCTGATATCCTAATTCTTTAGACATTGTCTTTACATTGACTATAGGGATGGGATTTTCTCTGGGAACTGATTTTACTGAGGAAATATGTTGTTGAACCTCTATAAAGCGGTCACCTTGGGGAAAAGACCAGGTGACCGTTTAAAAGAGGTCATGTTTGCAGTAAATATAAAATGTATATTTTGCCACTTAATGGAGTGTGACTGCCAAATATATGATCACTCAGGGAGAATGCTTCCTTTTTTCTTTTGAATAAATTCTTTTTCACTAAAGTTTTATTTGTCAACGACAATACATTTTTGCAATTAGATGTAGGTTRCATCTGTACATTTTTGTTTCCAAAGAAACATTTTGAATTATTAAATTATTACAAGAAACATTATTGAAAATGTAGACTAAACTGTTCAGTGTTTGATAATGTGCTACGTTAATGTACTCTCAGAAAAAAAAAACGCTCCTCTGTCAACACTATACGATGCGTTCCGGCTGCCGGGACCTTCCAAGCTGTTGCCAGAGGCAGGGAGGATTATCGCAAGTTCTTTCTGGTTTATTTCTAGCCTGTCTTGCCTTTCTAAATCACAATACACCGATACCAAATTCACAGCGACTTGTACAAAGATTCGCGACACGCGACCATTTATCCTGGCT